CCCAAAACCCCAAAACCCCAAAACCCCAAAACCCCAAAACCCCATATTGCTAAAATTACTGTGAGAATTGATAATTTTTTTAATAACCTAAATAATCTTTCTTAAAGAAAGCTAACTGTATAATAAATTAATTCACTCATAAATAGTCTTTATAAGAGCTTAGAAAAGCTTTTTGAATAGAAGTTATATCATTTCCACTCAATTTAATAGTCACTCGTGATCATCATAGTTACCTCGGCTAATAGGTCCTGATCCCCCAAAGAAATCATGCGGGAACTTCTTTTTTATTGGAGTGATCTTTTTCTATATAAGTGCAATTGGCGCTAGCCTTTGATTGCTAGAGCTCTTTTTTATAATCATCATTGGTGCATTTGCAGATATTCTAAATTGGTTAGTTTGAGTGTTCTGACTACTGGGAGAAGGACTCTATCTCTTTTGCATCGAAGGTGGAGCAGCAACATTCTAATAGAATGCTTGTTGCGACTACTCAATCAAGATCGGTTCAAAATTAGAGTCTTTATTGAAATTTGAGAAGGTCAATCTATCTGCGAGATTGATCTGATTTTACTAAGGATTCGTTTTGTAGAATTTTTATCCAGATTTTTTCATGCCGAATATTGCTGTTTCCTTGAGGCTAAGTTTGTTGCTTCCTTGTGATTTCTTACTTTTGATGCTCACATTGCTGATTTAAGTTTATTTGAGCTCACTATCTTCATGGTTTTCTATTGATAAGTATTAATGAGGAGGGATACTGTTAGATGGCTATCTGAAGAAATTGTTTTGGGTATCCCCACCAGATGAGGAGACAAATTTCTACGAATTAATAAGGTTATTTTGTACCGGCCTCATTTAATTTTACTCTAATACTATTGAATCAGGCATCATTATTGAGCTTATCATCTCCATATCTTCATTCCTTTTTTATTGCTTTGTAGCCTTTTTACTGCTCGGCTCAATGTTAGTGTACATTTTGAAATTTGATTATTGCATATTTCTAAAATTAGCACTATCGAATCTCTCCATTGAGTTTGATGGGTTTCTTACATTTTCTTATGCCTGAGGCACATTATTTTTTCTAATTTCAGGTAAAAAGTTTGATCCTGAGCTCTTCACATTTTCAGAAAAAAATAGCAGCTAGCTTTAACCAGCAAAATCTAGATTTTGATTGTTCGAGTTACCCCCAATAAGTCCATTATCTGGCTACCTCAAATTACTATTTGGAGTATGCTTTACGCTATTTGAGAACTTTAAATTTTCTTGTGAGCTATAATGAGGCTTCATTCCTTAAACTGATCCTTGTAATAGCTATCTTTGATTTAATTGATTATTTGTCTGAAGGGCATCTATACTTTTAGCCACATTAAATCTTTGCTCAAGTATACTGTTTGTAAGAATGTTTTCATCTACTATTTGGCTTTATTGAGTATTAGTCTTATCAAGAGACTCTCTAATTGGCTCAAGAGATTAAACTTTTTATTTAGCTCCTTAATTTGATGGACCAAACTTAATGAGATGATTTTTCTGCTTAAGTTTCTCATTTCTTTCAAGGAATTACATTTTGTTACTCTACCGGTTATTATATCTTTGATTCTGATTGTTCTAATTAGCAAGCAATTCCTATTATGATTAGATAATTGGAGGATGTTCTGGGTTCAGATTCTTAAGATTGATTTGGTGATTTAGAATTAGATTTCTTTAAATTAGCTCAATTTGATCGTTATCTTTTTCTAAACTGTCATCAGGTCTCATATGATTATCTTTTGATGACTTTTTCTAATTCATCATAATCGAGCCTTTAGAGGTTGATTTACGAATCTTGAACTCTCTTGAGGAGTTTCTTTAAGTAGTCTATGCTGATTGATCTTCATCCTCTTTAGACCCTAAATGTCCCTCTAATAATCTCTCTTGCAAATTAATCTTATTTTTTAAGTTTTTTTGCTCGACTAAAAGCTATTCAACCATAGAAGACAATGCATCAATTTGATTTTGCGACTCTACATGCGCCTATTATAACTTTGGAATAACCTTTGCTTGAGAGTTTTCAGTATCTTATGTATCTTGTTGAGTTGGACTTAGTACTCCAGCTCTTGAAGCCCTTTACTTTATAATTCCTTATGCACCTTAGACAACGCTAGAGGTACTCGAGTTTTTACTTAATTTTATTTTTTTAGTAGACTCTCTGTTTTATTACTGTTAATTAGTAATTTGAATTAGATTAGAATGGGATCCTGACTTTTTTAAATCAAACTTACCAACTTCAATCTTATTTATAGATTTCAATCTTTATTAGTTATTTTCTTAGTTATCTGAAGGGGTACTTTGCTAGTTTCTTACAAAGGTAGGGCTCATACCTTGAAGTGTTGTGGTTTCAACACTTTTTTCCTCTTCAAGAATATCTTTAAGAACACCGTTTCTGTAACTATTATACTTTCCTATCACAATATTAGGCTAATTAAGCTAGGAATGCTCTTAAAACTAATTTACGAAACTGAATTTAGTTCCAGTGCCAGACATAGGACTATTCATTCCTGAAAATAAAGAATCACTCTGAGAATCCAATTGTCTTCTTTTATCAACTTTTGGACTATTCCACTAGTTTTCAAACTAATCCTGCTTAACTTTCTCCTCTTGTAATCTTTTCTTTTTATCTTCTATTTATTACCTCAATGCCTCTTATATCTCTTTTTATTCATTTTATCTTTTTTAATATAATATCTACTGCTCATCTCTTCCAGTAAATATGCTACCTCTAGACTCTAACGCAACATCAATTCTTCGTTCAACTTTCTTTCTGGATTGCAGAGGCTGTCCTGATTATAAGTCAATTAATTCAGCAGTTTGAACGTTATCTCTTTTATTGCTACTAGCAGCAGTTGTTGGAGTATGATCATTTCTCATTGGATCTGTCATTTTAAGTCTCACCTATGAATGCGAGGACTTTTCAGGCGATTATTGCTTTTGTTTTTATTCAATTACAGTTATTTTTTGACTTGGTTATTGATAGCTATGCACTGAGTTCTGAAATTATACAAATGATTGCCGATTATTATGAGATATTTAAGTATCCCTATTTAATTTAATTTCCTTTATATTATCTTACATCTAATTTGCATCATTATCCTAGGAACTCCTATCTTATGATATTTATCTAAAATTCTCATTTATTAACGATGATTTTTAAGATTATAATTCAGCCTGGCTCGTTGCTCTATTAGTAATTTAGTCTTTATTTAGGTCTATCTTTTTGTTAAGTTTTTGAATATTTATAGTTTGCTGAGCATTCTAGTTTCCCTCAGTATTTATATCGGTCTTTAGTTTCACTTTCCTGTTTTTTAGCATTACTCCAAGTGTTTCATTCACATTTTGCTCACTTTATTCCTTTGTACTTGTCCCTTCTTAATTATTTGATTCAGGGGATAAGGACTAGAATTTGGAAGTAGTTTAATGATCTTATCTGAATTGGATATTTTTAGCCTGAATAACTCTTTTACGTGACTTAGACTTGCTGACCTTTAACAGAATACCATTATTACTTTAAAGCATCCTTTTATTTTTTTATAATCTTGTCAATCTATTTCTAATATTATTTCATAATTTAATATATTTAATAATTCACTTTCTTAATACTAGATTCTCTTCAGTATTTATGCCTTAAGGGGTTTTGGGGTTTTGGGGTTTTGGGG